TAAATACATACAATGGCTATAAAATGGCAACAACTTTGGTCTTGGCCATGATCAGACATGCAATTAGGTCCTCAAGCTACTAAAAATGTGACTTTTGCTCTTTTATCTGAGGTCTTTCTGACATTCACAGCCCTGTCTACAGCAGGTAGGATATTAATTGTTCATAGCAGAACCCCACTTTCAAAGATCTGAACTATTGCTTTAACTCCTGTCAGCTGTGACGTTTCTCCTCTTTTTTTAAGTACAAATGAGTTGTATATCAAAATGTTCATTTGCGACTGCTGAAATATCCTGACCATGTAATGTACTTATGTATTAGAGAGCAGAAGAAATGCGCTCCAGGACTACCAGAAATCTGATGGCATCCAGCTGCTTGCAGCGACTGCTGATCCCTCCCACCTGACAAAAAGCAGGAAGCTCAGCTTAACCAAATGTGCCAAAACCTGCAGCCGAGGCAAAAGACTCCCTTTCATCTGCAGGTTTGTTTACAAAGACAGCAACGTACTTTTTTCATGTGCAAAACATTTTTCCCAGAATGGTTAACAGTTGTCAAAACCCATCAACTATGATTAATGCGATAGTTCAGGAACTTTAATTCACATTTAATTCATTTGTTCTGCAACCTAATATTTACAAATAGTCTATTATAAAATTGTAATTAGATTCTAAATGATGAAGCAGACCATATTCAAATGTTTTAACTGCTCTCAGATGCTTTTTATGCTTTTTGGTTCAAGAAATTGAAAAGCACCATGCATGTTATTTCCTTTTTATTGTTTTACTCTACATTTTTATTTCCCTTTTCCAGAGCTTTCATCTATGATCACAAGAATGTAAAATGCCACTGGCTTTCATTTGACAAAAACTCTCGAGGAGCTGAAAGCCATCAAAACTCCAACGTTGAACTCTATCAAAAGAAAGGTGAATGATTGTTCGTCTTCTGATCACATCGTGCTGTCAGAGCAATGTTTCTCTTTACATAAGCTGGTCAGAGCAGTTTGTGTCAGGGTAGGAAGGATGTTCAGAACAACCTTACTAATTTATTGACTGCACTTTTTAAGAGGTTTGTAGTGACAGCATCTTTTAGAGGAAGGACAAGAAAGGACAGGAAGCGCTGTTGTGTTTATTGTGCTTCATTTTTTTTGTAATTAAATGGGGTTTGTGTAAACATTGAGAAACATGCTTCACTTCAAGTCTGACTGACTACAAGAGCAAAGATGCAGCCTGTGTAACTACTGAATCCAGATACTCCTGATGAGGAAAACAGATTTGACTTTTGGCAATGTCACCTCCTTGTTAAGCTAAGCATTACAACTCCTTCTCTCTGTTTTCTTCATTAGCTGCACTGGCTTTGTGTAAAAAAATAATAAAAATAAACAGCTTTTTAACTCATCCCATTTCCATATTTTACCAGCAGTGCCTTACTTTCCTCATCGATTTTCTTTTCTTTTTTTCATTTCCACGTCTTTTTCAGACTATGTAAGAGAATGCATTGTAGGCACAGGTCAAAGCTACAGAGGGCGGAGGTCAGTGACAGTGAACGGGATCCTCTGCCAGGCCTGGGCCTCACCAATACCTCATGAACACACGTAAGAATTTGATGTACTTTTCACCTCAGTGTCAAACAGTATGGTGCTCTCAGTTTCCGGTAATGTTAGTGTTGGACTGTAAGAAATGCAATTAGCTGGTAGCTAGAGGCTAGTCAGTGAGTATGAGTTTGATATATTGGAAGTTGATTATGCTCCAGGGAGCAGTCATTCATCAGAAGTGACCTCACTGTAACACTTTGCAGAGTCACACATCATTTCCTGCAATGGTCATTCTGTTTATCTAGGTGTGTGTGTGTGTGTGTGTGTGTGTGTGTGTGTGTGTGTGTGTGTGTGTGTG